CTTCCAACACTCCATCGGCCGAGGCAGTCAGGGCCTTCCTAGCCCTAGGGTCGCGAATGGGAGCGGCCACATTGGATGCAAGTGCAGCTTTCTTGCATTCAAAACTCCCGAAGAACGAACGAGCCATAGTAAGAATGCCTGCCGATGTATCTTTCCATGCAACAGAATATGAACCTGTCTATGTCGACCTCTACCAAGCTCTCAATGGACTACGATGTGCCAGCCGTGCATGGCTGAACATGGTTCGGGAAGCTACGTCCGAACATGGTTTGATGGCCTCTCCAACTGAATCTTCAGTGTTTGCAGGGAATTTTCAAGATCCCGATGGTTCTTCAATGTGGATGGCAATTTTGTGCTATGTTGACGATTTGCTTGTGGTGTCGCCGGACCCCAGAGCTCCCGAAGCAGTTCAACGTATGTTGAAAACCAAGGTTTCAAAGGTGAAAATCACCGGGCAAATGCCACCGCATGGTTCAGGCAAGTTGGAATTCCTTGGTAGAGAGATTGTTCGAGGTGAGTCAACGGATTGCCTCAAGGTTCGAGTTCCTCCGGAATATCTTCACGAATTGACCAAGGACCTCAAGGCCACCGACATTCCTCCCAACCTTGATAAGCTTGCTGAAAATGATGATTCTGCAGCGCTGGATGAAGATGCTGCACATCGATACAGGGCCAGCTTAGGCCGTTTTTCATGGTGGTGCCAAACAAGAAGTGATTTTCTTCGTTATGCAGCGATACTTTCAATGAAACAGCAGAACCCGACCATTGCCTTTGAGAAAGCTTTGAACAAGGTGCTTAGGTATGCCAAGTCGAGTTTGCATTGTTTTCAAGAATTTCGCTGGGATGATGGTTTGGGCGTTGTGACGTACGCCGATGCTTCGTGGGGAGCCCGTTCAGTGACGGGATTTGTGATTACATGGCACGGATGTACCATAAAATGTGCCAGCCGTCAACAAGCCTCCAAGAGTTTGAGTTCATGTGAATCAGAGTTGATTTCACTGACAGTTGCTTCGCAAGAAACACTTGGTTTGTGCAAGCTTTTTCGATTTCTGGAATCAGAGAACCCAGAAGTTTACCTTTCCACCATTGAAGATTTCATGCAGCGAGATGTGGAAGAGTTGGATGATAGCTTGCAGTTTGAACTGGTAACTGATGCGATGAGTGCGTATCAAGTTTTGATTGGAGATGGCTTCAGTCGTCGAGTCAGACACTTGGATATCGGTGTTGGTTTTCTCCAGCGACTTGTGCAGCTAGGAATTTTGTGTCCAAGATGGGTTAGCACGAACCAACAACTTGCAGATCTCCTCACAAAGTGCCTGGGAAAAGAAAAGTTTGAGCAGTTCAGACGTGAAATAGGGATTCTTGCGTCCACCGAACCTGAAAGTTGGCAGTTCGCAACTTTGATGCCTGGTCCCAAGAGACGTTTCGATCAGCCTTCATTTGCATGTTCTCTCAAACATGTTGACGGAATTGTAACTGAAATGGTTGCATGGCAAACCAATGTGCTGATTTTGGACTTATGTTCTGAAGAGGGTTTCAAACACCTCCATGGAAAGACCATCGACCAGAAAACATGCTATGTTGTGCAGTCAACCCAGCATAGGTATAGCTTGCCTGGAGCTGTTTCGTTTTTTCAAAGGTTGATTCATGCCGCCAGAAAGCAGTTGCCCGAACTGCACGTTTTAGGATGGTTTAGTCCTCCGTGCACAGGTGGTTCTCCGATGCAGCACCTGTGTCCCACCAACAAAGATGAACGGATTGAAAACCTTTGGCAAGAGTTTTTGGTTTTCCTCAAAGCCGGTCGAGAGATTCTGAAGCTTTGTGACCTGCGTGGTATGGAACTTTCTTTGTACTGCAGTTTTTGGAGAAGACATGATGTCATGCAGTTTGTTTCAGACTTGTGCCCGTACACGTCAAGGCATGATCGATGCAGGTTCGAAAGTCAGAAGCTTAGTCAAGCCAGACATAGCTATAGATGTCAAACATCTTGCCCAGTGACCCCGACACGTTGCAAGTGCCAAAAACCGCACATGGCACTCAATTCACAAAGCCTTCATGAGTATGGTTGGTATCCACGGGGTCTTACTAAGCACTTGATCAGGGAATTCATAAGGTATATGTAGACCGAAGCCGTTTTCTGGAAACCAGACCGCTTGTCTCAATGCCTGGTCATTTGGACCGTGAGAAGTTTTTTTTGTCTTCATGGACGGAATGCAAGGGTTTTAACTCTGCATAGTGTAATGCCTTTCCAACAGGCATCAGAACATAAATAATGTAATGCCTTTCCAACAGGCGAAGTAAGTCAGTTGTTGCACTGTCTTTCCAACAGACAGTTTGAGATGTGAAGTTGTGATTGCACTGTCTTTCCAACAGACAGTTTGCGACGGATGTTTGAGACGTTTCGCAAGGAAAGAGCTCAGAGGATGGAATCCGAGTTTTTTGCATGAGAATTTATTTGCTTGAAATCAAAACCATAAACAGCTTTTTGCACGAAAACTTCAAAACCAAACAAACATGATTTTGCTGATGTCGTTATTTTTTTTCTCTCAAGGAGAAGCCTTTTGCAGACCTGACCGTCCGCCGGCAAAGCATGGAGCGGATTGCCAGTTACGTGCAGAGACACGAGCTGGATGTCAGAACAATAATGATCCTTTACGAGCATGGCCACCTGAGTGATGAGTTTTCTGAGGTTGGAGAAAGCAAGGCATCGACCTCTTCACAGGGAAAATCATCAGCTTCGATGCCAGTGAAGCCTGCCAAGGATCTCAAAGTTTCCTATGCGCCTGAGGGAACACCGCCGTCGGCAAAGCCGCTGAGGACTGCCGGAGACCTAAGTGACCCAGAGGAGCCAATTATGGTCAGAGGCCTTTCAGAAGATGCTGATGCGATGGCATCAGATGGTTCCCGACAAAGCAGTGAGCCCAGAGTGACTCGAGAAAAAGTGTTTCGAGTCGGCCAGGGAAAATCGTACCATGCCGAAACCTGTCATCATTTGAGACGGATTGAAACTAAGGGGAACACACCCCTATTCTTATGCAGCTGCATTAAGATTAGAGGGGTTGGTCGTGACCTTGACCTCCATCTCGCCGATGACAGGAGCCTTCATCAAAGCACGAAGTGCCCTCGCTACAAGCCTGTCTGGACGGGTGAGGGAATTCGCCACTACACTTTGACCGCTTGCAGTCAGTGTTTTTAGGGTGCTGTGAAGGTTGGAATGGTAGTTCAGATGTTTCGACATCGACTATGAAGCCGTTTTGCATAGCTCAGACATCGGACATGTCGACTTTTGGACATTGGACGTCATAGACGTTGTCAAGATGTTCAATGACTTTCAGTTTGCAACAGTTGTGAGGGGGTTTGGAAATCTACACTGCCTATGCACTGCAGTTGATGTCGTTGGTATTCAGATGTTTCTTCATTTCCTGATTTCCGTGTGCAACTGGTTGTAAGCCTTCAGCATATGAACTTTCAGCATTTCAGCTGGAACAACCGCGGCAAACAGCCGGGACCTCAGTTTCGTACAGTGCATTGGTTATGCACAACTCTGGATGGATCTATGTTTCATCTGGCATATGTATGCTGCATTTGGTACAGCGAACATACATACAGATGTGCTGCTTTGGTGCCACATCTACCTTTTCTGCAATTTGGTGGAGAAGAATATTTGTACAATTTGATGCGCATAGCATTCAACTTGTCACCATGTGATGAAGCTGGAGTTTCAGTCGCACGCTCCTTGCACTCAGCTTTTTGCATTTGGTGATGAAAGACAGATTAGTTCTGTGTGGAATTCGTTTACGATGACTAGCAGATGCGTCTTATGGCAGCAACGTTGTACATGCCATTTGTCCTCTAGGACGCATACTGGTTTTCGGGACAGTTTTGTTTGCTGGAAGATGCTATTTTGGAATTGCTCTGCATATTTCAGTTGCAGACTGGATAGCATGGACGGAATCGAACTTGACAGTTCGATTACAGTGACAGCAGCTGTGAGAATTTGTTTGACGTTGCCAAAGTTTACAGATGCATGATTTGGTGAACGAACGGTTAGATCGACTTGATCTATTTGGTGCATATCGTTTGGATATGTTTTTGCCAAACTTTACTGATTTCATGCCTTTCAGGCGATGCCAAATCAGAAGTTTGACTGCAAAGAACTATGTGGAGATTTATGCCTCCAATTTGATCGTTTTGGACGAAGTACCTGAACTGAGAGGGAAAGTGAGTGAGCAGTCGTTTTTGAGAATTCGTTTGAACCAAATTTGTCCGAAACCAATTTTTAACAGTTTCTGAACAAATTTGTGCATGAGAGCATTTCTAGGGATTTTGAACGTTTTTAGGAACACGAAATCCGTTTTGGTAGGACTTCAAGTTTTGAGGCTGAGTCCAGCCAATTTGACAGAGCCGAGACCACGTTTCTAGGTCGTAGGTTGTTTTAGGGTTATGAACCCATTTAGAAGCCGAGAACTGAGTTTTTACAGTTTTCGACCTTTAGGCGTTTTTGACCTGAAGCCAAAACCGCGTTTTTAGGGTTGAAGCTTTTCAGGATAGCAGAAACCACGGTTTGTAGAGAGAAACTGTATTTTGACAGCCTTGTGGTTTTTAGCCGAGGAAACCTCGTTTTTGAGGTATTTGGACGTTTGTGATAGTCACAGATAGCCGGAGTCAAGGGGACTCAAATTACTGAATGTACAGAAATAAGTCAAAGAGAATGCCAATGAATTTTGGCTCAAGTGCGACAAAATAAACTTCAAGACTTGAATTAAGGTTTTGAAAGTTTATAGAAACCCGAAACCCGAAACCCGAAACCGACAGCGAAAGTTGGCTTCAATCGACGAAACCCGAAACCCGAAACCCGAAACCCGAAACCGACTCGAATCCGACTTTTGGGTGGCTCTCCGGATCGGAACTCTGGCATGACTTGGCCAAGAAACGTCGAAGATGCTTTGCCGAATCTTCCAAACTTGTCCCTAATTCAAACTGCCCTTGCTGTATTGAAGGCCGAAAGGAAACATGCAGAAGTATTGCAAGATCGTGACAAGATTGCAGCTGACATGCGACAACTTCAGAGTGACAAGGAGATGCGGGTCTAATTTCGCGAGAAGCTTCGCCGGACAGAGTCGACAGAGTTAAAAACCCTTCAAGTTGCATGAACTCGAATGATGCCCTTGAGGACTCCGAGCAACGTGCGAAGCAAGAGATCGAACGAAAGCATGATGTCATGGCCCAAGAGCCTAAAGTGCCACACCTTACTGTGATCTGACAGTCAGACAGCTTTGATATTTGTCTTTCAGAGTGTGAGCAATTTGAGTTTGCAGCATTTTGCAAACAGGCAGCCATGAAGCAAATGGAGCTGGTCAATGCAGATCAGACCAAGCTTAAGATGGACAAGGATTGACTGGAGCTTGTGGATAGTATCAGCAAGGATTTCATGCCATGCTGACTTGATCATTGTGGTGACATCATTGCAATGTAATTGCAGTTGTTACGGGGTGCCTCGCCAACACGAGCTAAACCCACGTACCAACAAATCTGCGCTGTGCTTTGCCCACGTCCTGTCCAACAGAGCTTCACTGGCTCAACTGCTCGCATTGGCAAGTCCCTGGGAATCCTGGGCTCTTGCAACTGTGCATATCTGTGCATATGGGGCTGGCTGATGTTAGCTGTGATGGTTTCATGGATTACACACTTGTTCAAATGTCTACCCAATTTTGTCCCCAAGTGCCTTCCATTTGAGCAGCGGTCAAAATCCCCAAGAAGGGACTTTATGTAAACTTTGGAGTTGGACTAACCCATCTCGGCGAAAGTAGAACCCTTGCCAAAGGCCCAGGAAGACAACACGAATCGCGAAAACTCACAATTTAGTCTTGTTGGCATTGTTGGCGAGTCATTTCCATTCATTGTGCCTGGCGGATTTGATTTGTGGTGGCCAAATTCTACGAAAGGTGCGCCAAAGCAAAGGAATCCAAAGGAATCCATGTTTAAGGATTCATCCGACGAACTGTGTAGGTCTGGTTACCAAGTGGGTTAGCTAGGCTGCTGCCCGTGCTACGATATGGTGTTGTGTAGGGGTTGCGGAGTGCATTGTTGTGGTGGCATGTTTCTGTGTTGACCACCTTGCCAAGGTGTTGACAGGCACAAGGTGCAGAACCCTTGTTTCAATGACGGTTTCTCAACTTACTTCCAAAATCTTCAGAGCCCAGCCCGCGAAAGCACCACGACAGTGAAACCTAACAAAATGACTTCCGCGAAAGCAGAAACTTGAGCCGCGAAAGACCCGCCAAAGCTTTGCAAAGGCCAGTTAGGATTACAAAGCCTCGAAGGGAGCGACTTAATGTTTGGCGATGCTTGGCGATGCTTGGCTCAAGTGCTCATCGCAAGTTGGAACGGCCTGGGTGAACGACGAAGAAACAGCTCCCAGAACAGCTCGTCAGGACTCGGAGGTGCAGACGCGCTTGGACATGGAAGCGAAGCATCAGGACAGACAAAAGCCATGACAGCAGCAGACAGCGTTCTCAGATGTTCTCAGATATTCTCAGATGTTCTCAGATGTTCTCAGATGTTCTCAGATGTTCTCAGCATTTCACACTTTTTTAATTTGTTAAAAGGTTTTTGCTTTTCAGTACTTGTTTGGTCTTGGTTTTTCATTCTTTTGCAAGGCCGTCCTACGAGATTTGGAGCAACTTCGTGCGGAAAAGGCGAGACATTTCAAAGACAGAACTGTGCGGTTGACTTGTTGCAGGCGGTAGGTCGAGTAGGTCCCTGAATATATAGGGTATGTCCGAAGTTTTGGCTCCCCTAAGCCTGTTGGCTTTCTAAGCAGAATCATCCTTTTTTCTCAGATTTCTGGGTTTGCTGAATTTGGATCTGGAGATGTTATCAGGATCAAATAGCTACCGAGCACAACAGCTTGAAGGCGGCTCACAAGTAGTGATTATTTTGGCTGTAGTTGGCAGTGCTGATGTTGCAGGAAAACATTTTTCCAATGCTTTTGCCCCAACATTCTGGTTCTGCCGCAGATGGAGCATCAGCGACTTGAAGCCGAGCGCAACAGGCTTTGACATGCCATGACAGAGTCTCATACTTGGCTTGTCTCATTGGTTCATACGGTGGTGTCAGGCTGCATGCTTCTCATGCGGAAGCGTCCAGAGGACATGAAGAGGTGGCGCTCTAAAGTTGAGAGGGGCATCGGCTATGGAGAGCTTGGTGCACAAAGCTGTTTGCATGGATTTTAGAGGATTTTGTGAGACGAAGGCTATTGGAAGATTGCGCGCAGCTCATGAGACAGAGTTGAAGCAGACAAAGGCCAGGAAAAGACCAGAACCGGGAGATGTTCACGGAGGTGTTCATGGAGGTGTTTACGGAGGTGTTCACAAGCAGTGTATGCCCTTTGTAATGAAACATGGAGGAACTGGACAGCTATTCATTCAAAATTCATTCCTTCGATTTTTTTAGGGCCACCAGGCAGCTGATCCGTTGCTAGAACCCTGAAAGCCAACAGAAGTTTGCTACTGCCTTTGCGACTCCTGCTCTCAATACTGTTGTTCTGAAGTAGTCTTAAATTCTCTTTTGCTCGTGTTAGCGTGTTGGAAGTTGTAGACAGAACAGGACCAGAGTCAACAGCACAAGCAAGAATGGGAAGGGCGGCATCAGGTGCCCAGCTTGCAATGCCTGTACCATCTTGCACCATCTCCCTGTGCTGTCACTTCTGTCACATTGCGTTGCACCCCGTTGCCAGTCACTTCTACAAGAGCTTGAAGGGCTTCGAGCGGAGTTACGACGAGCACAGCAAGAGAAGGAGGATGAACGTCGAGCGAAAGAGCGTGCCCAAGCTGACCGTCAATCAGCTTCGCGCCAGTCTGTTCGGAACCCAGGTCTGATCTGCAATGCTGGCAAATTTTTATCATTTGATCCTGCAATGGTTTGTTATATAACGAGTATGACCAGTCCCATTTTGCACTAAGGAAGCACTTCAAGTTCAGGTACAGTCCATACAGGCTGGTACGATTTCAAACACTGCTTTTGCATTGCTGCATGCTTTTGCAGATTTACACGTCAAATCCTAGGCGGACATGCTTTTGCATTCGCCAGTTTGCAAGATCGCGTTGGATTCACAAAGTATGTACAGATTGTGGTTGGAGAAACAATGAGAAACAATGAGAAACAACTTTCAAAAATTACTTTGGGATACTCTGGGCTTCTGTATCCTAGACACTATCTATGTAAGTTACGCATTTTCAGGGACCCCAAAAAACAGAAATATGGATGTTGTCAGGGTGTGAATCCCTTGCCTCTTTGCCAGTCTCGACGCAACAGCGACCTGAGTTCCTTGGAAGATGTACAAAGCAGGCTGTGGACCTCGATTCTTCGAGTGTTTTGTCTTTGACAAACACAGTGTCTGCACTTTGGCAAACTAAGCAGACATTTTTGCGAAGCCACGGTTCAAGACCGTTCAACACCATTGAACAGTTTGGCTGGTTCATAACCCACTGAAAGACACGACCGCTGCAGGGTTCGGAGCTTGCAATCTGAGAATGAGATGCTCACTGGAGATGTCAACACACTCAAGTCATTTGCTCATTATCGACGTGGGAAAACGGGACACTGACAGTCACTGACAGCATGCAAACGATGGCAATGGATCTTAGATCTTCTTGGATCTACATAGATCTACGGCCTCTGAGGAAATTGAAGCAAGAGAAAGAAGAAGCTGAAAAGGACTTGCGAGAAGCCTTCAATATCCAGTGCCTTTCCTGGAGTCATTTCCTGCAGCCTGTACAGGAAAGCAGTACACGAGACGTTGCGCAGGATTTTGTTCAATTTCTCACCAGTTATAGCATAATTAATAAGAAGGCTACGCTTCTGAGATGCATGTCCCAGGCGCACAGAGTTGAAAACAATTCAAAGGCAGCTGGAAGACAGGGAACAGCAGGCGAGTTTCTGCTCGCAACCTCAAGATGGCGAGTATGTCAACAGTACGTCTGTTGTTTCACAGAAGGTTTGTCCGAGTTTTTGTGCTGAATTGCGTGACCTTCAAACAGATGACTTGGAACAGCCATTGACATGTTTTATTAGGATGCATAGACATCAGCACCAATGTCCAAGGTCACTGCAAAAGATTCACTCTGTGAGAAACCAATAGAAACCATCTCAAAGGCATACTTTGTGGCTCACCTTGTACTAGCGCCTCTCGAACATTAAAAAAACAAGAGGCGGTGAGGCCAAGCCAAAAGCGAAATAAACACCCTTTTCCTCGAGCAGAATTTGAGCAGAATTGGAGCGAGGTCAAAGAGTTTGAAGAATGGCGCAAAAATCTGGAAGACAAGTACTCTGGGTTGGAAGCAAAGACATTCAGAATTCAGACTTAATATGATGAAGATGATATTTCTACAGCCTCTACACTTATGTTCACCAGATAGCCAGAATCCTATAAACTTGAAAATCAATTTATTTGTGAAAAAAATGTGAAAAAAATGTAAAACAAAAAAGCAACCCAAAAAAAAAGCAAATCAAAATGCAAAAATAAATAAAAAAAAACAAAAAAAAAGCAAAAAAAAGCAAAAAAAAGCAAAAAAAAAGCAAAAAAAAAGCAAAAAAAAGCAAAAAAAAAATGAAAAACATAAAAAAAGAATTAGATTAGATTTAAAATTTGTAAAGTTCTACTACAATTACTATAGTTATAATTGCAATCTTTTCAGAATAAGTAGACAATCACAATTATAATAAGTAGACAAGACATATGCCTTTGCTTTTGTATTTTGCTTTGCTTTTTTTTGCTTTTTTTTTTTGGCATTTTTTTTGCATTTTTTTTGCATGTTTTTTGCTTTTTGATTTGCTTTTTTTTTTCTGGTTGCTTTTTTGGTTTACATTTTTTTCACATTTTTTGAGGAAAAAAATATTCCATTGTTTTATAGGATCTGGCTTGAAGCGGTGAACATAACTCTACACGTTTGATCGGGTAGATACTTGATCAGAATTGGTCTGAGGTTGTTGTCTCAGTTGTCTGCTGAGAAGAAGGACCGGGATGAATCTGGAAGTCACGGCATGACAGATTGCGTCCATCACTGGCAGTACATTGTCTCCAAGTTGGATGGTGCCCCTTGTGCTCGCTATCACGGCCCGACGAAGAGCCTCATTTCCTGTGGCCATTCGTTGTATCCACAGAGATGAATTGAAAATAATTGGCATACGTGGAACATTTCGAAAGGAAGGAGAAGATTTGCGGCGCGAACTCAGGGAGGCCGCTGCCAGTGCTTGGCCACTTGTTACCACGCAGTACGGACCGTCGCGTGCCATGTTCCGGTATTTGCATACCAATCAGGATTGAATAATATCATCATATCATGTATCATTCCAATTCTTCCCACATGTCACATCATTGAAGCACATCATCGCACCCTGGTTATCACACGCATCAATCCAGGCGCAAGCGACTGGAGAGCAACTTCAGCGGAATGCTCAGGCGGGGCTAGCTTCCCAAAACTGAAAATTGATGTTAGTTGCTAGAAGGCCAAGCAAGGCGTTCACAGCGGTGTCTGTGGAAAACATAATACTGGCCGGCGCACTTTCTTTAAGGAGGGGCATGGATTCAGAAGCCGTCTAAGCCTCTAAGCTTTTTGTTGACCATGCAAAGAGTGTATATCCAGAAGCAGCCTGGAAGCATTTGAAATGACGCAGCGATGCTTTTGATTTTCAATTACTTTCAATCCATTTTTTGCATCCTACATAGTTCGGACTTGTTACGCAGCTCCTGCATTCTGAAAGGAGGCCTTGGACCGCCTCCTTTTGCTTCAACAAGAGAATGAGGTGGCAAGGGAGGAGCTAGAACAACACGTTGATATTGATATAAATAAAATTAAATAGATAGATAGTTATATATATATATACATAATATATGATTTATATATGGATATTGGGTTGGAAAAGCCGCTGATAGTCTGGATAGAGCACTGCAGCGTCGTTTCAACTAACTGCTACACCAGGAGTCAATTGCTTCGTTGCACCTTGTTCCTTGTCCTGTCACGTTTCCCGAAGTCATTCTAGTCCAGTACTACAAGGATGCCTGAAACCTCAAGATCCTGCAAGGATCTCAAGGAGTCTCTGGAGTCGAAAACACGTGGTGAAAGTGAAGCCTTGAAAAGACGCATGACGATGTGATCTCCTCAGATTGTTTGGGATTTCTTGATCAAGGTGGCAAGTAGGTGGCAAGTAGGTGGCAAGTAGGTGGCAAGTAGGTGGTAAGGAGGTACGAAGGGAGGCAAAAGGAGATGCAATGCTGCAATGAGTCAGATTTTTCGCTTTAACCTATTTTCACATTTCCTGTTGGAATGAGGCCTCGCATGTCACTGTGGGCGGTGTCCAAAACTTACCTTACTGGAAGCAATGATTCAGAGATATTCAAAGCATCTAGAGTCAGCAGCTATTCAGTTTCCTTGTGAAGCCTCACGCGACAAAGGAGCTTTTTGTTGTGCATGTTTGATTTTCTGAGTCTCAGGCCGCCTGTCTTGGCAATTGAGGATGGCCGGACGTCTGAGATGAGAAGACTCGAAACAGACTATGGAACACTTAGAAATTGACTTACGAATCAGCAGATTCCAGCAGGGCTTTCGATTTTGTCCGGAAACATGCTGACTTTGGTCGTGCAATTGGTAAGGCTGAATCACCTTGCATTAGGTTTTCCCAGTTTCTGGTAAATGCATGAAGGAGGAAGCTGATTTGCTCCCGCACTCCAAAGATGAGTTCATTGCGCAGGTGGGCGCAAAGACATGTAAGCATCACTTGGTAGGGCAGTTCTGTCCATTATGGCCAGTCTTTGTTTTTACACTATATTCAGCACTTTTTGTCAATCTGAGCATCTGTTGGGGTAAAGCGGGTCTGTGTTACTCACGGACAAGGTTCGCGACGCACATAAAGGAGTTGACAGCTTGATGCAGAGTGCAGCGGAGGCCCGGACACATGCCAAACAAGCACATATGTAAGAATCTTGAACACCATGACAGTAACAAGTTGACCAATATGTTGACACAGACACAATTAAACTCTTTTGTGAATCAACTGCTTGAACTCAGTCTGCTACATTCTGTCCGATTCCCTCCTGTGGCGAGGTCCACATCAGGACAATCAGTGCCCAGGTGGATGGAGCAGCGGCAGCAGAAAGCAAGGCGCTGCATTGCCAGTTTCCGGCGAGATAGGAAGATCTTAGGAAGTCAGCATACGATCGTCATCTCATGCAATCAGTGAGCAGTACTTGTCCTACTGATACCTATCTATCTTATGCGTCTTTAGGCGGACAAGCAGTTACTTCAAAGCGTCCCAATCTTACTGATGACCCGGTCAGGGCACTGGAATCCGTCGTGGACTGGCCGACTACGAGAAACAGTATGAAATTCAGTCTGAGCAGGGAGCTTAATCTGGCTTGAAATGAAAGGCACATCAAGTGAGAGAACGGGCGACAAGGAAGAAAAGGGAGGAAATGGCGGCAAAGGGAAGGGAAAGGAAGGTTTCAACGAAATCAAGAAAGATCACAGATCAACAAGATAGATGAAAGATACTGTAGATTCTAAGATTCTAAGATAGATCAAACGTATCAAAAGACCAAGAGATGCTTTGAGTATCTTTGAGTCTTTTCATGTCTTTTCACGCTCACAGAGCTTTGAGGCGCCGCTCAGAGCTCAACAACCTCGAAGCGCGGCTTCATGACCTGAGAGCTTTGAAAGAGGAGGCGAGCAGATTCGAACGGAGCTTAGGAGCTTCATCGCTTCATCTTTTCTGATCTCCGCTGGCATAGCTTTCACGGTTTCAGTCCTTAGAGCCTTAGAATCCTTAGACATGCTGACGAAGACGGGTGATTTTGGCCAACCACAACCACGCACACGCATCGAATCTTCTGACTAGGATCCTTCTGTTTTCGTTTTAACTTTCAACTTTAAAGACACAGGGTTTTGGCCATTTTGGCCGCACGTCTTGTTGGTAAATGGCTGACATCAAATGCACCGAAACCACCTGCGAAAGCTCTGAAACCCCCGCATGAAACGCCAGAAACACTGCAGCGAAACACTGCACCAGGGACGTGACTGGACTATAAAACTATACCCAGGTGTATGTATGTATGTATGTATGTATGTACGTACGTACGTACGTACGTATGTATGTATGTATGTATGCAAGCATGCATGCATGCATGCATGCATGCATATGTATATACAGATGTATATACAGATGTATATACAGATGTATATACATATACATATACATATACAGATACATGTTATATATATATATATTATGCATGCCTGGGCATGGGTATGGGTTATGTCTATGCGTGTGTGTTCAAATACATATACCATAATTTTGTTGTTCCTATGTTTAAAAAAACCGCGTCGGTTTAACATGAAACGCCAGCTGTCCGTTTGTGGTGAAACAATGAGCCTGCGATCCCGGTATTTACCCGGTATTTACAATTTTTGCAAGGGTTCTCAGCGTGTTTCGGTCCCTGAGCAGGTCGCTCTTCAGCACCATCTTCCTGAAGTGGAAAGAAATCAGGCAGCCTGTTGTGAATTCCTACAGATACTGCAGCATTTACCACGCAGTTCCCATACTTAATGATCTTAATGTCCTGCAGTGGTTTCAGTGGATGTTTGTTTTCGATGTAGAAAAAAGAGAAAACTCCTGTAGCCGAGGGTTTTCGCTTCAGTTCTCACAAACAAGGTCTTTAGCTGTTGACATCGATACTTTAGTCATTCAGCATGTCCCTTTTTTCCTTTCTCGATTTCTTTCCATCTTGTTTCACTCTGCCCAGATTTCCCCATTTCCTTCAAATGGTTTCCGTCTCTGAGCTCACTGGTTCGTTGCGTTTCACATTTCGCAGTTCCTGTAGGTCACCGAGTACCTCGAGAGGGACATGAAAAGATGTGAAGAGGAACATCTGTTTCTGTGTTCGTTGGGATCTCCGCCTCCGCTGGTTTGTCTTGACATGTAGACTTTACACTCTTGCGTTTCCAATTGACGCCTTTTCCGTGTTGTGAGTTGTGAGTCAGGAGATTGAAATTATGCGACCATCGTCAGCCTTGTCCAGCCTTCCTGATGAACTTATTCAGGCAGCAGAAGCGGAATCAGAACCTAGACATGTCGAAACCGAGTTGAAACCTGGCACAGACAGATGCCGACAGGTTCTCATGCACATGGTTGATGAAGGACTCCCACCAGAGTCCGCAGCTCGGACATTGCTTGTGGTTGTTTTTTCTGAAAGCCAGATTTTGACAGCTTGCAGCAGCTTGTTACAGCATGTTGGGCAACGGCCTGTTGCCCTGATGTTCTACGTGTTCTACGAGATCTCAGGTTTGAACATGGTTTTTCTCCTATGCATTGGTCAGCACAGCGCGGTCGCCGTGATCTCATAGAGTTCATTCGACAACAAGTTGCTTCAGCCTCAGCTTGGAGAATGGTGAGAACTGTGGTTGGGGTGGACAAAATATGACAAAATGCCTCAGTGCATGTACAGTATGTGTCACAGTATGTCTCAACCCTGACAGAGCAGTGTGAATCTCCGGCAAACCAATTTGAAGCTGGTTCCAGCCGAGGATGGTGGGCACGAACTTCTCAATTCCAGAGATGCTCAAGGAGCCATGGACGGCACTAACATTGAACTTCATTGAACAAAGATTGAGGCTCTGAAAGGACAATGGTCGATCTTTGATCCGACAGGCCGCATACCCCTGTTCTTTGCCGAGCGGAGCGGAAAAGTCGGCCTCGCTTATCACTTGCGTCGAATTGGAGGCTGGGCTGAACATGAACATCGCAAACATAGCTTCAGGTTGCACCAGAAAAGAAGCTATTGAGCAAATCTTGGCTCTCTAGGTTTAAAAGTTGAACCTAGTACTGTAAGCCTTAGCGATTTGACGAGCATAGCTCACATAGTGACGCAGTTCAAGATGTTTGGTCTTTTTTTGTTATGTAGTAGAAGGGCTAGGGGAATCGTTGCAGAACTAGTCGCATCTAACGATTCATTGACGGAGGCTCTGCTGACTTGCTGGTCAGGTGCGTCTTTGCGCAAAAGAGACAGGGAGAGGGAGACCTGTGATCGATCCTTTAACGCAGTGTATAAATAGCTAGACGGATAGTTCGATAGATAGATCGATGGATAGATAGATAGATGGATGGATGGATGGATGGATAGATAGATGGATAGATAGATAGATAGATAGACAGAGAGAGAGAGAGAGAGATCGACAAACTAGTCAGCTCAATCGCGTGTTCCGCGATGCTGATTTTGACAGCCATGATCTGTCAGCCGTTAAGCTGCTTCGAGGTCCTCAGAGAAGCGGCCTGATACAGAAGGTCTTGCTCCTGCCTACAAGAAGGTTGGATATGTCGGATGAAACCAGATGAAACTGGCATGTTGACACACGTTGGACACAAACTTTACCAAGAAGGGAGGGAACCACGCTAGTATAAGACAGGCGTATCCAAGCATGATGACTTGAATGCATGGATGTCCGTTTCGGACTCCACTTTTCTTAGGAAGGTTGAGAAGGCCTTGTCGACACGAGCCAAACAACTTTGAAATAAGGGTAATCATGGGAACGATATGGGAACGATGTGAGCCAAGAGCTGTGAAGAACTTTCTCAAACTGTTGGTCAAGCACAATCAAGCACAGTAGCCCGATGTAGCCCCCTTCTCAGCACGAATTCTGCTTTCAATGTGTCCAAGCTGCTGTACTCTAAGACCAACTGCCCCCGCGAGAAATGATGCCGATGCTGGGCATGTCTGTGGGGCATGAACGCACATCGGCCTAGTCAGTGCGATGGAGGGTACCACGCAGATTGCCCAAGTCAACACGTTGAGTGCAGATCCGCGGCATGCGACGAAGCTCCTCAGCAGGTTGGCAGGCAATTGGCAGATGGCAATGGATTTATTGGGGTTAATGCATGCTTGGAGGAAAACCGTCAACACATTTCACTTGGGCTCCGCTCTCAATGCTTGCCAAAAAGCCACGCAGTGGTTGCTTGCTACGGACCTTCTTTGGAATGGTCAGTTTTTGTGTGAAGAGACGTTCACTTCCGTAGTGTGTTGCAGCTCGGTAATCAGTTCCTGTGGAAACGCTGGGCAGTGGAAAACAGCTCTGCTCCTTTTGGGCCTTATGAGATGCGTCGCTTGCGAACCCAACCTGGTGAGCTTGAATTCGGGTGCTTCCTCTTGCGAGAGACACGGACTTTGGCGTCATGCTAGCAGCTTATTGGATTTCCCTAGGCCGTATACACAAGGCTGCATTCTTGGCACAGAGCCAGAGAATCTGCGGAAAAATCAAGAGGGCATCAGGTGTGGCATATTTGAGACTCAGGGAATTCAAGTGGACACAATCAGCTTCAATTCATTGATAAGCAACTGTGAAAAGGCAGGAGAGTGGGAAAGAGCCTTCAACGTTCTTCAAGTCATGTCCACCTTCACAATTTTGTACAGTCTTATCAGCTTCTCAGCAGCTGTAAGTGCATGCGAGAAAGCTGAGCAGTGGAATTGGGCACTACAAGTCTTTCGAACTTTTGGAACATGTCAAAGTTTGTCCAGTCTGTCCAGTCTGTCCAGTCGTTTGTCCCGTTTCCATGGATTTCCTCATTTGCATTTTTGCAATGCCTTGGTGAGCGCCTGCGGCAAAGGTAGAAAGTGGAGGCTAGTCGGCATTTTGTTGGAACAAATGGCAGTGCTTAGGATCGGGCCCGACACCGTCACCTTCAATGCAGCTTTATATTCATATGATCATTTGCAGTGGAAATCTGCAGTGGATCTCCTTGCACAGATGACCTTTGCAGAAGTTGAGAAGAATGACATCACATTTAACGCTGCTTGTGCATCGGCTCGGTACAACTGGCTTTCCATACTGCGATTGTTATGTAACATGAAGTCAGCGAAGCTGCAAGATGATGCGCTGACGCAGAGTGCCCTTGTGTCAAGCCTTGTGTCAGGCCTCACAGCCAAAGGAGAGAAACGTTTGGGGAACCGTTTGGGGAACCGTTTGGCTGCAGTGCTGAGGGAGGTTGGAACTGTCTGGATGGATCGAGTCAGACCTAAGGAGCTCGACCAAGCCATGGAAGCATGCGACAGACAAAAGATGCAGATGCATTGCAAATGCAGCCATTCTGAACATTGGACTGTTGGACTTCCAAACGGTGTGATTTCAATTGAGTGCAACCTTCAAGCTGCTAGCGGCTAGCGACAGCAGTCTTTCAACCCATCATGAGATTTGAAGAACTTTTGGTGCTCTTGATGCTGCTTGAAGGTGCTGGATCAGATTGAGCAGCGTGGCTGGCAATCAATGAAATGGAAGGCGGTTTGACGGATTGTCAAAGATACATTCAGCATCGTTTAGCATCATTGATTGCATGAATGTTCAGCATCATTCAGAATCGTTCAACTTTGTGTCGCTCGTAAGCATTCTCGACTTGTCAGGACGACTTCACAATGCTGCATTGGGCTGCTAGCCACGGCAAAAAGGACCCCATGCAAAGCAATGCAGTGCACGGCAGATCTCTCCTGTGCCTGCAGTCATCCAACGTGACACGACGCACAGTCTGATCTGGGTGTGACACATCTGATTTTGTCTGTACGGTGTATACTTTGGTCCTGCTCCTTGGCAGGACCTGTGTCTCTACTTGCTCAGCCAACAAGCAAATCCAATGGACAAGGACAATAAGGCACTAAATTGCAAAGACAAACGCAGAATGCTAAATGGGACAGTTGTGTGAAATTAGATACAATATGAAGCAGTGTACAGTATGCAGCATTTTACGAACAAGAATTCCTTCATACAGAAGTACATTTGCAGGATTTGCAGTTTGTCCGTCCATCCGGTCCCCGTTCTGCAGATTTGCTTTGCTGTCCTATCTTGTCCTGCCGTGTCCTCCGGAGCCGTCTTGCCCGTGTGCTATTTTTTCTTATGTGTGGCTGCGTGCGTACATACATGCGAGCGCGCAGGCATGTGTGTGTATGCAGTGTGTGTGGTGTGGTGTCTGCAGGGCAGGTGCATGTGTTTACATTCATGTAATTTTATGGAAATGGCCCAGGCTTTGTGTGTCTAACCAAAATCATGGAAACATGTGTACATGCGCGTGAATGTCCATCAGAACACATAGTTTTTGTTCGGTGTCTATGTTCTGAGTCTGTCTCTATGTATGTATGCACTGATTTCATGCATTCTTGCACTTGACTCTGTTGACAGAGTTTTCAGATTTTTGCTTTTCAGGTAGGTAGATACATAGATACATATTATGTGTATCCGTGTCTATTGGTGTCTGGGTCTATGCATGTGCATGTGTGTGTTTGCGCGCATGCACTTGTGCGTGTATGTTCAAATATGTTCAAATGCATACATTGGCATACATGCTTGCAAGTGGAGCCCAGATATTCCCCATTGAGCGAAGGGACGAACAGCTGCTGCGGTTGCAGCAGAAGCCAATCACTTTGAAGTAGTTGCTGCCATTCAAGACAAGGCTGGAAGCAAAATGCTTGCACTCCTTTTGTGAATCAAACTCACACTACAAAAGGGGTGCCTTTGGATTGAGGTTCCAGTCCATTTCAAAGTGTAGCCTCAAGATGATCCCTTGTCAGGTGACAATGCCACGAAAGTCGGTAAGCCATCTTGTTTTTTCAACTCCAACGGAGTGATGTGAGTGTCCTGGCCTGGCCTTCAAAGTTAAAGGTCTTGGATTTTCCAACAGAATCCTTGCACTGCTGCACACTGCTGCATTTGTGAATAGTCTGAAAAGCCAATCTTGGCTTCTCGGCCCTCCTTGGCTGGGGTACAAACCGCGGATTGCCACCGTAAACACAACAGACGGACATCCAATAGACTCAATAGACAATGTCTTCTGCCTGCCCTTTGTCGCCAAACAGCCGGATCTACTCTTAGAGCAAAACTCTAAACTCTGTTTTCCACAGATCTCACTAAGATTCTGTGACAATCCTGCGGCAGAATCTGTTGCCTTTACTGCCTTTACTGTACCTTCCCCATGTGCTTCACCAGGATTCTGGAAGTGGGATGTCACAACGGAGAGTCAATGCCTATGCTTCGTGTGCAGTAAAAGTGCGCGCGATGTTAAGGTCTGAAAGCAGTCATTTTGGGACTTGGGACGCTTGGTTGGATGATGGCTATGCTATGTTTTCCTCACGGGCACGTTTGGGCTCACAGACTGCATCTGGTGCCAGTCTAATGTCAGGAGTTTGATTATGAAGATATGCGCACCTTGTCAAAGTAAAGCACTACACTGGGAACCAGTCTCTTATGACTATTCCGATCTTTTGTGTTTTTGCACGTTGCTGCTCAGTATTTAGTGGTTTGCATGTCAGTGTGCCAATGGCTAGCCAAGCAGGCAAGGCTGGAGAAGGAGTCAGAAAGAGTTTGATCAGAAGGTGTCTATGATTTCTGTAGGTCACCCATCTCTCTTTGCTTTGCTTCTCAACATGAATATCATGAATGCTGTTTTCATGGGTCATTGGTGGATCCTTGACCGGTCTGTTGTAAGCCGAATGCACTCTATCAGGCGCAGGCAGTGTGTCGTCACCTGTATTGCCATCTATTAGCAGTGTGCAACCTCTGAGGCTTGGGATTTGTTTGGGTTCTGGCATCAGCCAGTGATGTGGCGATGCCAGATTTGCAGAACATATGCAGATGGCAAGTGCAGTTTTGAAACAAAGATCAATATCAAATATATCAAGTTTTCAGGTGGATCTTCATGGAGATATGACAATTTTGCTCAGGAGATCGACCTCCCTGACTAGTAGACAAAGAGTCAGCGCTGCTGATCATTGGGAGGCCCCTGGAGGGAGGCTGCAAAGATCAGCCCCTGGGGGTAGAGACACAACGCCTTGCAGCTTCCCTTTCTTAGAAAAGCACAAATTCATGAGAAGGCCACATGCACCGGCGGAGAGACTAACAAGCATGCTGACTTTCATTGTGAAGATTAGAGCTAGATATTTCTCTCTGCATGTGTTTTTCCACTGTTTCTAC